GTGATGATGAGGGTGATGGGCAGAGCACTCCTCTGCTCCCTACCCAGGCCCATCACCGTGATGGTGTTGATGACGGTGAAGCTGGGGGAGATGATGTTGGTGAGAATATGACAATGGTGGCAGTGGTGTTGGTGGAGAGGATGGTGGTGTGACTATGATCATGGCGATGATATGACAATGGTGGTGGCTGTGGTTATGGTGATGATGGTGATGATGATGGTGTTGGTGGTGATGGTGTGAATATGATGATGGCAGTGATAGGACAATGGTGGTGGCGATGATGGTGCTGCTGCAGCAAATGCAGTTAAGGCACTGTGAGCCGCAAGGCATAGGAAGGTGTCCTTTGCCAACCTTGAACCCTAATGGAAGGGTGAAATCTATTTTGTGGGTCTTAACCATAATGAAGAGAGGAGTTGGGCATCCACCAGTATTGCACGGGAAGTGGGTTAAGGGCCAAGTGTGGGCATTTGAACAATTGTCCTAAAGTTGTTCTCACAGGCCAGTCACTGACATTCTGTATCTGTCCTTGGGCAGCTATGCCCATGTCCCTTCAGGGAAGATTAAATTCTACACAGGCTGAGTTTAGGGAGGGGTACCAGAGCAGCATGAGGGGCTGGGGACCTTTCTGAAGCATTAAGCAGCTATTATAAAATGAGGTCTAAAAAGTTACCAAGACATCTAGTGTAGGAACCAGATACACCGAGCACACACAGGAACACAGTGAGGCTAGTGAATGACTATCAATATGGACTTTGAAGCCAGTAGCCTGGGTGGAATCCCAGTTCTACCCCTTCGTCTCTGGGTGGTCTTGAATGTGTCACTTCACCCCCTTTGACATCAGTTTTCTTGTCTGAAAACTGGATAGAAGAAGAGCACGTGTTCAGAGACGGTTAACAGAATTACTTCTTAATTAGCAAGTACCTAATAAATGCTAATTGTTACTGGCATCCTCACCATCACTATTAGACAAAATGAACAAAAGACGGAATGCATAAATCTCAGATTCCTCATTAGCAAATGGGTTAATAATGTAGGATTGGTGGTATTTATTCATTGGATAAGGGGCTGGGGATACAGAATGAAGCAGGTCAGACTTTGTTTTCCACCCAGCCCACATGAAATAGGAGAGTGTGCAAGTAAAGGAACAAGAGTGGACAGTGACAGTCCCCACAAACAGTCCCTCATTGGTTTCTATTCTTGGATGATGCAAAAATTGGAACACCTACTGTGTGCAGTGCAGGGGGAAGAGGGGTATGTCCTGTATTCCACTCCCCTCCCCAGCCAGACCAAGGTCCTGGGGTTTGCTCAAAGAGAGAAAAGACATTGCTACAGTTCACACCAATGCAAAACCCAGTTGGGTGCTTGGGTTGGGTTGGTGGCCATGATTTGGTTGTGCTGTTTCTGAGGGCTGAATTTAGATGCCATTGATGCCTTGTTCCACCAATAAAACCACCTTCGTTTCCTGAACTGTACCCATGCTCCCCGAGGCTGCTTACCACCCCAGCCTCCCCCACCCATGAAGGGCACCCTCAGAGATGCATGGCTCAGTCCTCTACTTCCTGTCCCAGGAGCCCTGCAGTTCCTACATCCTTTACCACTCTGCTCTCTACCCAGGTCCAAGCCCCAGGACTCCTGGATGCCCTCAGGAGCGCTTCCTTGGCCTCTGGGCTTCCTCTGCCTCCTGCTACAGGCGATGTGCTTCAAGCAACCTTAGCAGACCTTCTGGGAGGAGAGCAAGGCCCTCCAGCTCCTGGTCCCCACCCAGCCTTTGCCCTGCTGGTTCTCAGTGTGAGAAGCTCACCCTCCCTTCACCTGCAATCCCTAAAGGTGCACCACAAATACACTCTCCCCTTAGCTCGATCCACGTTATTCAGAACACACATCATTGTCTTTGGGGATGAATTGACTTATGCATTTCTTGAGAGTCTATCTCCTCGACCAGAATGCAGGATCTGTAAATGCAGGGCCTGTGTTTTTGTTCAAGCTGGAATCTGGGCTCACAAATAGGTAAGAAAATGACAAATGCTTGTTGAATGAATGAATGAACTGTCAAAGGGCAAAACTAATGTTCCCCACTAGAGCTGCTACCAGGAAAAATGATACAGTGTTGTGAGCAATGCCAGCCCAAGAACTTAAAACTTCCTTTTGTGTTCCATTCTTTGCTTTTACCTCTAGTAGGAAGCAGCAGAGTCAGACCTTGCTGTTGAATTTGTAGGATGACCAAGGCTGTTTTATGAGGCCAACATATAGCCCTCATTTCCATGTGTTCAGTAATTTATTATGTATAGGTCTTATTATGTGTAAGGAAATCCTGAGCCAAATTAGCAAGTTCTGTCTTTCATTTTATGCAATATTAGCGATTTGGAATTTAAGCACAAACTAAAAAAAAAAAAAAAAAAAAAAAAAAAAGATCTGAAATTGCCTCTTTGACTTAGGAAGGAACCCAACACATGTGGAAGCAACAGGTTTCCTTTTTCCAGTAACTCTCCTCTCCTATAAATCATGCTAATTGTCTCCATGTGCCCACAGCCTGCAGAGAGCTTTGCAATAGCCTTTGAGGAGATTAGTGGTCTCTGATGTTCCTTATGAAATTCAAAAAAGCATCTGGAAGTAATTTAAATTAAGGAATTAATGATTTTGAGGTTAAATAATACATGACTTAAAAAAAAAATAAACACAGGAAACTCTATTAGCCCATGAACCTCTAGGTTCACACCTCCATTCCTGTGGATTTATCTAACCAAGATAAATGACCACATCATCCCTCAGATTTGTTGGATCTGTATTTTGTTTGATTGATTTTTAGAAGATAATTAAATGAGGTCCCGCAGTTAGACTTGCAGAGGGGGAGCTCCCTGTTTCCTAGGTCTACTTCTGCAGGGATGAGAAAGACAACCTCTGGGATTCTGGGAGGCCTTGGCAGGGCTTTGATATAAAGCAAAATGGCCACACAGTCAGGTGGGTTTACCAGATTGAAGGTCATCTTCCTTTTTTTTTTTTTTTTTTTTTTTAATTTCCCCTTCATTTTGAGTGGCTACATAGTATTGTGTTGTGGTGGGTTCAATTTCCTCTTGTTTTGTTTATTTGTAGGGTGGAGTCCTTAATCCAGGGACCAAATCTGGCTTTGCACAAGAAGAGCAATGTTCTGTGCCAAAAGGAATGTGCCAGCACAGGGGAGGGGCAGCTGTTGGTCTGCAAGGGAGAGCAGGGGAGCAGAGGCCCCAATCCAGGGCTTTTATTTTTTGTTCCTATTATAGGATAGGAGGGAGAGAGGATGAAGCAGATTCCAATCCCTTGGTCAGAAATAATGGGAGATGTTGTATTTCTCCCTGATGGCGGGAGGCAAGGAACATTTAAATGAAAAATATTTATTCTCCAATGACTTCCGGGCTTAAAAAGAAGAAGAAGAGGAAGAAGAAAATGTGCCTTTCATTTTAGGAGCCCATCTACTCCACGACTTCTCCCCACTAGCTGGGCACTGATTTGAGCAATTACCAGCATAATTCACTTAAAAAATAAAGTCGCTACTCCCCAGGCCTATGAGAACGGACCTTTTGGGCATGGCTGGCTCCCCAAGCTAAAAGAGAAACAATGAAGCATCATATGCTGCAGCCTGGGCCATAGAATCTCCAGCCGCCCCCCACCCCCACCCCGCCCCCAGCAGGGAGAGGCTCCAGAGCTAGGGGTGCTCCAAAGACCTGGCTCCATCCCTGATTTCTCCTTGTGGGAGACTCAAATTCCCTTGAAGCTGAGTTGAGGGACCTTTCTCCTTTATCAATCAAGGACTTCTTTCTTTCATTTCAAAATTCTTTCCTCCAGGGTGGGCGAAACATAACCCAGTCGTCCTTCCTTCTGAGGTTGGTCTGAGGTCACCTAGGGTGAGGGCCAGGAGCCCAGGGTTAGGTGGGGACCACCAGGACCAGGATGATGTAGCTGATGCTGGACTGGGCCAGGTTCCCAGTCTCAGAACCCATCACCTTTCGCCCCCAGACACCAGAGGGAGCCGGGGTCCCGCCCTCTCGTTGCTTGCACCTGGTGGAGGGGGAAGCCCCAGAGTCCATAATGGTGGCAGAGACTGCTCCAGGGTCCCTCGATGCGCGCGAGGGGAGCGCTGAAAAAACCTTAGAGGATGGAGAACAGGTCAGGAAGCGGTGGCGAGGACAGCCCTTCCAGATCCATATCCGCAGAGAAACTGCTCTTACAGGACAAGCCTGGGGCACGTGTGTGTGGCAGCGGTGAGCTGGGTTTTGTTTTGACCCCCCTGCCCAACAGTTAATAAAAAACACATGCGGCGCGACGTGCGAACCCAAGGGCATGAAAGGATATGCAGTGAAAAATGAGTCTTTCTTTCGACCCTTCGTCCAGTCCCCTTCCTGAGACTGCTGGTGCCTTGTGTTCTCCACGCACCATGCTACACCTAAGCGCATCTGTGTCCATCCGAGTTCCTGCCCTGCATGTTGCTTTCCCCACTAAATAAGGCTTCTGGGAGATCCTCCTTGGCAGCCGCACGTGACTTTTAAATCCAGATGGCTCCATATCTCAGAGCTAAAGCGAGGAATGGCTTGAAGTTGATGTTGGGGTGTAACGACCATCGGTTCTGCAGTGAGCACAAGAGGCAGCGACCAGAGGGTCCAGCTCCATCCTGCTTGCAGGGTGCCTGGGCAGGACACTGGACAAAGGAAAGCGGCTGCGAACACGGTGTTTAGCAGTGCTTGCGTTGCCCCCTGCCCCACTCTCCTCTCGCTTTCCCCGCCTCCAGGGTCCTCCCCACCCGCAAGGGAGCTCCTGGTCCCCGCCCCCTCCATTCATCACGGGTCGTGGGCGGGGTGGGGGGCGTGGGGCGGGGTGGGCGGGGCCTGGGCAGGGTTGGAGGTGGGCGGGACCGGGGGCTGGCCCGCCAGGCAGTGGCGGCGGCGGCTGCTGGGGAAAAGTTGTCCTGACCGGAGCGCCAGCGGCCGCTGAGGCTGGAGCGCCGCTGAGGCTGGAGCGCCGCTGCGTAAACGCCGAGAAGCAGCCAAACGGACGCCGCGGCTGCCGGGGTGTCCCCGAGCATGGAGCAGCCGGCGGGGGCCGCAGGCGGGCGCTGCGCCCCGGGCTGGCAGCGGGCGGCGAGAGCGGCCAGGAGCAGGATGCGCTCAGAGGGTGAGGCCCCCGGGCCGGCGGCTCCACTGTGCGGGGCGCTGAGCCTGGTGTTGAGCGCGCTGCTGGGCAAAGGTAAGGTCAGGCGGGAGTCGACCGCACCGGCTATGGCGAAGTTCCACGGAGTCCCGGTGAAGGCCGGACGAGGGGAGCCTAAACATGGGGGTGCAATGGGGACATTGACAAGGGCGCCGGTCCCATCAGGAGCCCTCCACTTCGCGCAGTGGGGCGGGGCGGGCCCCAGGCGCTGGCTCTGGGGCTGGGAAGAAGTGCAACCTCAAATCTACCCTATCACAAACCAGAACTCTCCTGCCCAGTGCTCTCGGGCCAGGCTGGAAATGCATTGGTAGAGACAACTTGCCAATGGATGTTAAAAAGCAGGGTTTGCTTTTCAAAAGCCATTACTCACCGCACTGTCTGAAATTCCAGAGGAAGCTGCTTTCTCGGAGGGGACAGTTTCCCAGACCCGCCAACTGGGTGCGTTTGTGTTTTGTATGTGGTTCCTTTCTCCAGACTGCCCCAGGTGAACGAAGTGGTGCACTTGGAGGGTGTGTGTGTGTGTGTGTGTGTGTGTGTGTGTGTTTGGGGGGGGGGACTTTTTTGTTTAATTTGCAAGAGCTAACAACCAGAAGCCTGCCCTGAGTTCTGCTACTAGTCCTGCATTTCTAGGACTCAGTTTCCCCAAATGTAAAGTGGTCATTGGAAATGCCCTTCTCTGCATTTCTCACGGGGGTCTTTGGGATCAAAGGACCTAATGCACAGCAGGTGCTTCCTGGAGGGCTCTGTCTGGCTGGGTTGAGCCAGAGCAGAGCCCTCTTTCCCTTTTCTTCCCTATGTCCTTGAGAGGTCTGAATCAGGTGAGGACTTCAGTTGTGTTTTTAAAACAAGTTGTGGGCTTTTCCTATTCAAAGCCTGCATTCTTGGTGTGTGCGTGTGTGTATGTATCTGTGTATCTGTGTCTTCTACAGGATTTCACTTTTGATTTGGAGTAGCGATTGCTATGGACATGCATGTAGAGGGTTAGGAGCAGCTATTTAGTGGGCATACAGAGCCAGGACCAGCAGTGGATGGGGGTGGGGTGATGAACATCACAAGCCAGGGATGTCCACCTTATAGGAAAGCCACCTGCTTCTGCCTTGATGTGGTTGGTGGGCTTCTCTGTCCTTGCTGCAGTTTCACAGTGTGTGTGTGTGTGTGTGTGTGTGTGTGTGAGTGAGTGGTTTGAGGTCTGCGAGGGTCTGCAGTTCATCTTCTGCAAAATGTTTTTGCAGCTCATTTCTCATGATCAAAAGCAGCCGTTCAATCCATCCTCGCTTCTGATTCCTCCACACTTGCTCCATAAGAGCAAATGAGCCTTCTTTAAATTTGTGCTATCATAACAACAACAACAACAACATCAACCACACTCTAAGTCTTTCTTTGTGAGGATCTACTTGCTGATTTCTGGAATCCTTGAGACCCACTGGTCAATGTTGAATACCAACTATATGTTTATTTTCAACTATGGATTGAGAAGCTTTGCAAATTGTCAGGGCTCAGAAAATACATAGTGGTTCTTAGAAGTTTCCATAATTAGGACAGTTTTGAAAGAAGGGATTCTCTTAAGATTGAGGCAAAGTATCTTTGAGCTGGGGGGTTTGATACATGGGGCCCTAAAAAGCAGGTGGAAGGGCAGGTGGCCTGGGGGTACCCAGAAGCTTGTGAAGGTGGTTGGTCACCTGTGAGGCACTGTCAAGGTTATACAGGACCACAGTCTGTTTTCTGAAATCCGAGGACTAAAAATGTTTCAAGAGCCAGGATTATGGAAGTCTTTGAATGGCAAGATACAGAGTAGAGACCCAGGCTGCACATTCCTAGCAGATGCCTTCCCATGCTTGGCTCACAGTGGTGCCTTTCTGTGGTGCCCATGGGTAATCTGCAGGAAACACGAGTCTCTGACACCTATCATGAATACTCCAAATATATTCACTGATGGGTCAAATAATGGTACAGCAGCAATAGTTACACCTGATCAAACTTTTACATTTTTAGTACCCAAACAATCAGCTCAAAAGGTAGTGCTTAATGCAGTATTACAAGCTTTTATGATGTTTAAAGATTCTGTATTTAATTTATTTTCTTATAGTCAGTATGTAGTTAATGCTATAGTATCCCTTGAAGATGCTGGTAGGATTTCCCCTTCTTCTACTGTTTTCTCTTTGTTTTCCACTATACAACGTCTAATCTGGGACAAAAAAGATCCATTCTTTATAGGACATATCAGGGCACATACAGGATTGCCTGGAGCCCTTAGTTTGGGCAATGAGTTAGCAGATAAATCTACACATGACATACATATTTTCTCCACAATAGAAAAAGCTATAAATTTTCATAAAAGCTTCCATGTCAATGCTAATACTTTACAAAAGCATTTTAAAATAACTAAAAAACAAGCCCGACATATAATAAAACAGTGTCAAAATTGTGTGACATTTTTACCACAAGTTAATCTTGGAGTCAATCCTAGAGGACTGATACCTAACCATATTTGGCAGATGGACGTCACACACTTGCCAGAATTTGGAAAATTAAAATATTTGCATGTTACAGTTGATACTTCTTCCAGATTTTTGATGGGCTCCCTTCATGCCGGAAAAAAAAAACAAAAACAAAGATGTTATAGCTCATTGCTTACAAAATTTTGCCACTGTGGGCGTTCCAAAACAGTTAAAAACAGATAATGGTCCTGGTTATGCATCTACCTCTTTTAAATAATTTTGCTCATCATTTGGCATTACTAACATAACAGAAATTCCATACAATCCACAAGGACAAGGCATAGTTGAAAGAGCTCATCAAACTATTAAAATGTACTTATTAAAACAAAAGGAGGGAATTGGAAAGGGGTATATATCCCCCAAAGATAAACTTAAAATAACCCTTTTTACTCTAAACTTTTTAAATTTGGATTCATCAGGGCTTAGTGCTGCGGAAAGACATTTGTATCCAAAAAATGTACATAAGCCTAAGGTACTTTGGAAGGATATTCTAACAGGACAATGGAAAGGTCCTGACCCAGTGATAGTCTGGAGTCGGGGGTCTGTTTGTGTTTTTCCACAGGGAGAACAGCAGCCGATTTGGATTCCAGAGAGATTAACCAAAACAATTTCTACATACCAAAAGGAAGCTGATTTGACTCAAATACATAACAGCTGATATCCAGAACTCCAGCTTGGCTATTCTTACATCTGCGACAGTGATTAACCAGGATGCTTTTTTCAATATCTATTTTATTATTGCTTTTTCCCACATCATAAAGTTCTATTTTATTTTTGAGCTCATACAGACCTAGGTTAATGTTTTTCTTATCGGTTTTATTTTTTGACTGTGGAGTTTTTAAACATTGCAATGGAGATTTCACCTAGGTAAAGCTACAAGGCCTTTACTATTGTCTTACATGTTGTATGTTACGTGTGCACACTTCTGTTTTGTGTTGTATGTCTGTATGTGCATATGTCCATATATCATATATGAGGAGTGCTCATGATTATGGATCCGAATTTTTTTTTATTATTCACGTGATTTTAATAGTTTAATTTATTTGGGTAAACAGCTGTTGAGGATTGTTTTAATATATGAACAAATAGGAAGTTAACAGATCTGTTTGTTTATTTTCACCTTTCCTTTTCATTATATGTAATAATTCTGTTCAGGATAATGTAAATTGTTCTAAAAATTGTTTTCTTAGTACCTGTTGAAATGTTACATATTTTTTTTAGCATCATTGTCAGAATTCCTATTTTCATCCCAGTGCCGGTGAAGACAAAGATGAAACCAAACTACAACTTCTTCAAGAGTTATCACAACAGACTGTATAAACTGATACATCAATGATTAATAACTCAACAAGTAATGCTCAATCAATGAGTCAATTTATTTTTGGAGGATATGGACATATTGATAGATTCTGCTGCTTTGAACTGCTTACAGAACTTGCCTGGACTATGTATCAATTGTATGCATTGTGATCTATCTGTTGATGCAGTGAATTATGGTAGTGCTAGCATATCTTTGCTGATGTGTCACCAGTGATGCAATTTTTCCTAGGAGCCATCCATTGACTCGGCGTTGTTGCATTTCTGTATCCTCCTCCCTTCTACTAGTGATGGTCTAATTTGGGGGGCCAACAGAGGTGAGGCAAAGAACCTCAACCCCCCACTGGTGCATAGGCCTATCCACAAGTATGGCTATATGCTGGACCGGTAGTCAGTGACAGGTATGATCCAATTGCAGTGGTATCAACCTAAGACAGGAGGCTGACGCCTAGAGGTCAGTTTTCCGATGATGGGTAAAAACCATATGATGAATTGGACAAACCTAACAGGCACGGTCGCTAGCCAGATTGCTTGTTGCTTAAACAGAAGGGGGGAGATCCTAAGAGCCAAGTATATGATGCATGGCATTTTTGGTTGAAAGGTGAAGCCAGCTAGCCATTGAGATGATATGATTATGTTAAGATTTGCATTCATATGGATATTGGACTCCTGCTGTTCACCTTGGCCTGCTATGGGACTCCTGGAGAGTTCCCATTGGTTGGGGAAGTACAATAGGAGGGAGTTCTGGGGGAGGAACTTCCTCTGGGCATGCTGGGTGGGTGGATCAGGGACAGAACATTGGCGGCAGTTTCAAAAAATAAAGTTTGTTCCTGCTTGAGTGGCTCGTGATTTTGTGCCCAGCCAGACTGCGGCACCAGGGATTCTTGCATTCACAAAATAAAGGGACTTTAAGGACACTTTACCCCCTTCAAGACATGCGCACGTGCACACACACACACATACACAAAGCTAACAGCTTCTGGTTTTATCATGAAGTTGCTGCTCAGTGATGATTTCAAGAACAAACAAACAAAATAGCAAAAACAAAAAACCTCACAGTGTAACAAAGAAACAAACCCCAGAAGTCTCACTGGGACCAAGGCCCAGCATGGCACATTCTTTTCACAGCCGCTGTTCAAATGTAGGAGCCCAGGCAGGGAGCACGGGTCCCTTGTCTCTTCTTTCTGCCTCACAAGGGCAAATGGCCTCTTTGTGGGTCTCTCTCCCCCCTCCTCCCTGCAGAGAGGAAAGAACCTCTCAGTTTGCCCGGAGTGTCCTGGGTACAGCTGCCACCCCAGTGCCCTCCATGTGAATACCCAGCTCATTTAAAATGCCACCTGATAAAATGGCCTGGGTAATTTTCTTTGCAGATGAAAATGAGGAAAAAATAATGTGCCAAGTCGTGTCTAGAGGAAGTGACTTCCCCTCATTTTCCATCAGCTTTCTGACCAGGCCAAGGGGGCATGGCACTTGTTTCTGCTGGGTTTTTCTCAACTTCCTAGACCAGTCACTGGCAGACTGAAATAATTGGTGTGACCAGCCACTCTCGCTGCACTTCTGTTAGCTAAGCAGGGACTGGTGAGCAGGGGCTGGTGGCCGAGTTTGTGCTTCCTGTGCTCAGGGCACAAACAGGACACTCTGGTAACTGGAATTAATCTCGTCTTTTAGTGGAGGATGAGCAGCACGGTAGCCAAGCCTGGGCAGGCAACAGCATCACTCTGTGTGAGTTACAGGTGGTTCTAGCTTTGCACAGGAGTGTGGGACCCTAAAACGTGCCAGACACAACCATGTGATCCCAGTTCTCAGTGGAGACAGAGGTGATTATTTTGTGGCCTTTAAAGAGCTTTGAAAGAACATTAAAAAAAAATAGGGTTTTAAAAGATGTAGAACTAATATTCACTTAGTATGTTATAATTAAAAGTGAGTAAGTGGGGAATTTGTGCTGCATTTCCTTGTGTAAAACTTGTCAAAGTGGCTGCAGTGGTACCTGCTTCTCCCAACCAGCACCTGCCTGGGTGGAGCAGCTCTGTCCTGTGCACCGGGCTGCATGGGCAGACTGCCACCCTCTTTTCTGAAGCCAAATCAGCCTCCAGCATTGGATGCTCTGCACCCCAAGGCTGTGCATGGCCCCGAGGATTCCTGGCTGTGGCGTTTGGCCAACGTCCTGCCTCTGGCATCTTCTCGCTCCTTGTTCCCACACTTTCCTCAGCTGGGCAGAAGTCACCTCCTTAGGTTCCTCTGGCTGCAGATGCCTTGCATTGTGGTGGCAGCAGCATCTCCTCCCTCAGCTGCTCCCGCTGTGAGTCCCTCTAGGTGTGGTTTCAATTGAGTTTCATTGTTAACACTGGACACATCTGTACAGTCCCCTTGTCTTCATGGCCAGCTCCACATTCTAGTTATCCTCGTATTCTGCCAGGTCACTTTATCACTGGGACGCCAGGAGACAGCACCAGCCCATTTTGCTGTCTGAGTGTGAATTGAATAACAGACACATGGTGACCAGTCACCAGCAGACTGAAATAATTGGTGTGACCAGCCACTCTTGCCGCACATCTGTTAGCTAAGCAGGGACTGGTGAGTGGGGGCTGTTGGCCGAGTTTGTGCTTCCTGTGCTTAAGGCACAAACAGGACACTCTGGTAACTGGAAGCTGAGCTGTGACTCGGGGTCTGGTGTTGTTTAATCTTACTGTGGTCACGAAGTCATGTGCACTGGAACCCTTCAGGGTGAGGGTACCTGTGTATGTGCTTTTAAGGTGAATTTATTGTAAGCAAATACTGACCCTTTCATTTATGGAAGAGCAAGCATCTCTTAAACACACCCCCCCGCACACACACAGACATAAACGAACATATATTTAAGTATTTAAATAAAATTATATAAAACTGTGAGTCAATTTAAAGGAATATTAAATAATAGTAGTCTAGGTGATGGCTGACTGTGGCCAGAATTTCAAGGGCTGTGCACAGACTAAAGTTTTCTTTTTCCCTGAGTTTGGGGCAGGAGAGTGATTGTGGTCCTTAAAGTATTATTTTCTCAATAACCCGGAGGACCTTTCATGCTTTCTTCCCAAAACTGTGCATGCGGGGACATCCTGGGCATATCCAGGTCTCAGCATCTGCGCCCCTTCTCTGAGCCACACAGGAAATATGGGAGTCTTCTAGTCCCATTTCTTTGTGACATCATGACACAACAGCAGGCCAATATGCACAAGACTAAATTGTTCCTTTCTTCATAGCATGTGCTATTTCATAGAATGAGAATGATTTGGGGTTTATGGGTGCACACCTATGATTCCGGAGGCTGAGGAGGCTGGGACAGGAGGATCACAAGTTCAAGGCCAGCCTCAGCAACTTAGCAAGGCCCTAAGCAATTTAGCAAGATCTTGTCTCTAAATAAAACATAAAAAGGGCTCAGATGTTGCTCAGTGGTTCAGCAACCCTGGGTCAATCCCTGGAACCAAAAAAACTCCCAAAACAAAAAAACATGCACCATTTGTCAGTGCCATCGTTAGATGTTTAGATTATTTCCTTTCCTTTCTTTCATTCTTCCTATAATTTTTGCTGTAATAGTAGCATCACATGACATTTTACAGAGGCCCTGACATTAGGATTAGATGTCCTGTGGGCGGCCAGCCTTGAATGACATTGCCAGATTCATATGGTCACCAGCAGCAGGTGACAGTGTCCACCCTTCATCCTCACCAGTTTTGGAAGCTTGATTGAGGGAGGAGCTGGACCTCAGACCTGCCACAAATAGGGTTGGATGGTCACTGCCACCAAAAGGTGTGTAGAAGGAGCTGACCTTGGTTCCTTATGAAGTCACTGTCTGATGCTCTCAAACACTCGCCCAAACGTCCTCCGCTCACCTGGTGTCTGTGCAGAAAGCAGGTGCTGGGAAGCCCGAGGGGTGGCAGGCTGGGGAGGTCCCACCAGCTTCTCCTCCCACCTCCTTCTGCTCAGAGTCAAGGCCAGGCCTGCCTGGCTGGGGCCTCCCTTCTGAGCACTGGGGGACAGAAGGGGCAGCGGGTTGATTTCCGAGAGCCTGGAGCGCGTCCAAGGGAACCGTGAGCCTACAGCACCCTCCCCACATCCTGCTGAAGTCCTCGGAGACAATAGTCCACTAATCCCACTATCGTTTTCCTGTCACCATCTGGATATTTTTATATGCCCCTCTCCTGACCGTGAATCAGCTCTTACCCATAAAATATGCTCTATAGTGCCATTTTACTGCTCCCAAGATGTTTGAAATTTGTCGCGATTGGTCGTGGTGACAAAGACAATAATGTCAGTTCCCTTCACTCCTGAAACAATGCAGTCAAGACACCATAGGTGACTTATTCAAAGTACTGAAACCACAGACAATGACAACAAAAAAGTCCCACCAACCAAGAATCTGTGTCCAGTGAAAAGAGTCTTCAAATCATTGAAAGCAAAGACCCAGGAGAGTTTCCTGGAGTTTATAACAAGTGGAAGTGAAATACACGGCAATGAACCCAGGCCCTGGGAAGGGACCTGCAGCCTGCGTGGAGGAAACAGAGTCCCGTGACCATAGGGGCAGTGGGAAGGCGGTGGGGACACGCCTACTCGTCATAGGCCGCGTGGCACTGGGCTACCTGAAGATGGGCTTGAGAGGGTCTGTGGAGAGGTTAAAATAGGCCCCAGAGGATCAGTGTGGAACAGAGGAGGGTGGCCAAGAAGCCACAGGAAAGAGGCGTGGATACTAAACAGTTCATGTAAAAGAGCAACAGAATGGGACGTGGGTGGGAAATGGAAAGATAAGTGGAAAATGGCAGTTTTCATCCAGATGTATCAATAATTACATTAAATATAATTGTATCCAACGTGCAAAGTTCAATACACTTAAGCTCTGTTAATAGTTAAATACAATTAAGTGGTTGAATAAAATTAAAAGTCAAGGATCATCAGGATGGAAAACAAGGGAACACCCAACTACGTTATTAACAAGATACCATAAAATATGTTCAGCATAGTAAGATATAGATGGGTCAAAAGTAAAGAATGGAAGAAGAACTACTTCTAACATGAATCATAAGTAATGAAGTGACAAGTTAGTGTCAGACCATGGGATATTGCCAGAGATTATAAAGGAAAGTTTATCATGACAAAGGGGTTGAGTTCATCAAGAAAGCCTAATGATCCTAAATCTGTATGCACTCAATAACAATCTTCAAAACAAAACAAAGAAAAATAATATAACTGAAATAGCAGTAAAGATATCTATAATTGTAGCTGGAGGTATAAGCACTCCTTCCTCCTCAACTGATAGAATAAATAGCTGGCCACTCAGTAAGGACCCACAGAACAAACTCACTCCAGGCAACTGAGCTTAATCCACATCTACACACCAGTGTACACAATGATAGTAGGCTAGCTTCTCCTGTCAGGAGAGCTTGGGATCTCACCAAAGACAGCACACTGGGCCACAAAATAGGACTTAATAACTTTAAAAGGTTAAAAACTATTCAGAGTGTGTTCTTTGACCTACATAGAATTGAAAACCAGAAAGATAGCTGTAAAATCCCCCAACATTTGGTGATAAACCAGCATACTTCTGATTTACCCATGAGTTAAGAAGAAATTAAAAAGTCAAAATACTTTTTTTTTTCTGAAGGAAATCAAAACTGCAGCATGTCAAGATTATCAGTACTTATACTCCTAAAATGTATAATAAAATTTCAAAATATAATTGAGATTTTAGAGACATCATAAAAAAGAAATATACCATGTTCATAGACACTTTTTTCCTCTTGAATTGACCTACTGGATCATTACACCAGAAAAAAAATCTCAGTAGGGGTTTTTGTAGAAACTGACAAG